TTCAAATTGTACTTATTCATTGCTGGTATATAGGAAAGCAATTGACTTTTGTGTATTAGCCTTGAAGCCTGCCATTGCTGTAATTGCTTATTAGTTCAAGGAGTTCTTTGGGTCAGTTCTTTCAAGTTTTCTACACAGACAATCTTGTCATCTGTGAACAAACACAGTTTTATTTTATTTTTCCCGATCAGTACACTTTTAATGTCTCCTTCCTATCTTATTGCATTAGTAGGACTTCCAGTAAGATGTTGAGAAGGAGAGGTGACAGGGGACAGCCTTGCCTTGATTTTAGTAGGATCAAAATAATAAAATACTAATTACCACCTCCATCCTTTGTACCATTGCTGTTATTTATTTCACTTATAGATAAACATACATAAGCATATATCTATATACACACACGAGCATACATAATCGAATATATTGTTGCTGCTATTTTGAACAAATGCTTATGTGTTAGATCAATTGAGAGTAAGAAAAACAAGTGTTCTTTAAATCCTACCTTCACTTACTCATCTCCAGTGCTTTTCTTTATATAGATGTCAGTTTCTGACCTCTATCATTTTTCTTCCCCCTGAAGAACTTTTCTTTTGGACATTTCTTGCAAGTTGGGTCTACTGGCAACAAATTCCCTCAATTTTTATATTTGAGAAACTATTTCTCTTTCACTTTTGAAGGATAATTCTGCAAGATACATAATTCTAGGTTGGTGTGTTTTGTTTTTAAATTTTTTACTTTTTATGTTAAGATTTTAAATAATTCACTTCACTCCCTTCTTATATAGTTTTGGAGGTAACGTCAATGTAATTATTCTCTTTGCTTTTTGATAGGTAATGTCTTTTTTCCACTGGCGGCTTTCAGGATTTTTTCTTTATCTTTTATTTTCTGTAGTTTGAATTGTGATATGCCTAGATGTAGTTTTTTTGTTGTTGTTGTTTGTTTGTTTTTTAATCATTATCCTGCTTGGAGTTTTCTGAGCTTTTTAGATTGATTGTTTAGTACTTGACATTGATTTGGTGAAATTGTCATTTGTTGTTGTTTCAAATATTTTTTCCGTTCCTTTCTCTCATTCTTCTTTTGGCATTCCCATTACATGTATGTTACACCTTTTATAGTTATCCCACAGTTTTTGTGTATTCTGCTCTGTATTTTTTCAGTCTTTTTTCTGTTTGCTTTGTAGTTTTTTTTAGGTATCTATTGGGATATCCTCTAGATTTCCTCAGCTGTGTCCAGTCTACTAGACTGAGCCTATCAACTTAATTGAACCCAACGTAGGCATTCTTCATTTCTGTTACAGTGTTTTTGATCTCTAGTGTTTCTTTTTGGTTCTGTCTTATAATTTCCATTTCTCTGCTTACATTGCCTCTCTGTTCTTTTATGCAGTCTATTTTATCCATTAGAACCCTTAGCATATTAATTATAGTTGTTTTTAGTAATCGATCTGATAATTCTCATATCATTTGCCATGTCTGAGTCTGGTTCTTATACTAGCTCTCTTTCTTCAGACTGTTTTTTTATTTGTTTGAGATGGAGTCTCACTCTGTCACCCAGGCTGGAGTGCAGTGGTGTGATCTTGGCATACAGCAACCTCTGCTTCCTGGGTTCAAGCGATTGTCCTGCCTCAGCCTCCCAAGTAGCTGGGATTACAGGTGCCTCCTACCACGCCTGGCCAATTTTTGTATTTTTAGTAGAGATGGCGTTTCACCATGTTGGCCAGGCTGGTCTTGAACTCCTGACCTCAGGTGATCCACCTGCCTTGGCCTCCCAAAGTGCTGGGATTATAGGCATGAGCCACCATGCCCAGCCTAGACTGTGTTTTTTTGCCTTTTAGTATGCCATATAAATTTTTCTGGATAGCTGAAGCTGATGTCTTGGGTAAAAGGAGCTGCTTTGTAAATAGGCCTTTAGTAATGTGGCAGTAAGGTATTGGGCGATAGGAAGCATTCTACAGTCCAATGATTAGATCTCAGTCCTTTAATGAGTCTCTGTGTCTCTGGGTGTGACTTTCACGGATGTTTGTTAAAACTATCCCCTGCCTCCCAAGGTAAGACAGCATGGCTAGTATGGGCTGCAATTGGTATTTCCTGTTTCCCTTCCTATAAGTTAGTTAGGCTCTGATAAAACCCCAGCAGGCTCTGACTAAATAGTTTCTCCTGAGGGAAAGACCTTATTAAGAACAGAATGTTCTAGCTTATTTAAAAATGATTTTGCTTCCCCCCCCCCCGTCAGAAGTAGTAGGTTTTTTTATTTTTATTTTTTTATTTTTTATTTATTATTATTTTTTTTTTACCTCCACCCTGTAATACATACTGTGAGAACCATATTGATTTACTGGAGGTGAAATTAGTAAGAGTATGAAGGCTCTTCTATGACTGAGTCCCCCTGACATTTTTAAGTTTCCCACTTGTTGGCACTGAGCCTTCAGCAGTTTGTCAATTACTGTTCAGTTTTTCCTACCCTGCACTGGTTCCTGCTGAGTTTTCTGCTTCAGTATCATGGGATTCTTTGCAGTCACCTGTTTCTCCAATTTGTGGGGCAGGGGTTTGCCATGTGACTTCATTTCTCTTACTGATCTGAGAAGAGTTGTAGATTTTTCAGTTTGTTTAGCTTTTCTTGTTGGGAGGTTGGCCTAGTGACTTCCAAGTATTTTTTTTCTTTTTTGTTTTTTTTTTTTTTAGAGATGAGCTCTTGCTATGTTGCCCAAGCTGGACTTGAACTCCTGGCCTTAAGTGATCCTCCCCCCTCAACCTCCTGCATAGACCAATTTTCTTACATGCCCACTAGAAGCCAGAAGTTGCAACTTGTTTTCATCTTGTTCACATGAGCAAAATATTTTACTTTTGATGAGGTCTATTTTATTCATTTTTTTCATTTTTGGATTGTGGTTTTGGTGTCAAATCTAAGAACTCTGCCTAGCTTTAGATCTTAAAGATTTCCTCCTGTATTTTTTTTCTCTAAATGTTAGCAGCTTTAAGCAGCTTTATGTTTACATTTAAGTCCATAATCTTTCTTTTGAGTTAAATTTTTGGTTTCTTTTTATTTTTTTGGTAGAGATGGGGTTGCGCTTTGTTGCCCAGGCTGATCTTGAACTCCTGGGCTCAAGCAATATGCCTGCTTTGGCCTCCCAAAGTGCTGGGGTTACAGGTGTGAGCCACTGTGCCAGGGCTGAGTTAAATTTTGTAACAGTTGTCAGTCAAGGTTCTTTTTTCTTTTATGCCAATAGATGCCTAATTGCCCCTGTACTGTTTGTTGAAAAGGCTATTCTTCTATTGGATTACTATTAGCCCTTTGTCAAAAATCAGTTGAACATATTTGTGTTGGTTATTTCTGGATTCTCTGTTTCATTGATCTGTTGTCTGTCTTCGACTAATAGCACACTGTCTTGATTTCTGTAGCTATACAGCAGGCTGGACCATATTTCTTTGAATTATCTTTCAGTCTGGCTCTCTTTCTCTTCTCCTTGCACTCTGATGATACAAATGTTGGATCTTTTGTTGTTGTCCCACAGGTCTGTGAGGCTTTCTTAATTTTTTCTGTCTATTTTTTTCTGGGTTGTTTGGATTGGGTGAATTCTGTTGTTCTGTCCATAAGCTCATTGATTGTATCCTGTGTCATCTTCACTCTGCTACTGAGCCTATCTAGCTTGTCTTTTGTTATTGCATTTCTTAGTTACATAATTTTCATTTGGTTGCTTTTATAACTGTATTTCCTTGCTTAGATCTTCTATTTTTACATTTGTTTTAAGATAATTTATAAATGATTGTCGAAGCGTTTTTATGATGGTTGTTTTACAATTCTTGTCAGATAATTTCAACAGCTGATTCATCTAGGTGTTTGCATTGGTTGATTGTCTTTTCTCATTCTAGTTTTTCTTGGTTTTTGGTGTGACAGGTGATTTCCATTTGAAACTTAAATATTTTATCTAATATGTTAGGAGATTCTGAGGACTAGTTCAACCTTTTATTTTCACAAGCAATCATCCTGTTTAGGTTTATCATGCAGGTCTTAGCCTATATTTTTGTGGGTTGTGGTTCCAGTGATGGTTTAATTTTGAGTCTGCACTGTTGTTTTGGTTGGCTTCTTGTATCTGGTGGCACTAGGGCTCTCACTGATCTCTGGTGGTGCTGCCTGAGGGAGTAGGAGATTCATTCTTATGCTGAGTTAGTGTATATCTATTGCTGGGGAAGGGATGGGCTGGGATTTCCTTACCACGCTCCCTGCTACCCTGATGTCTCTGGACAGGGGAGGAGAGTCTTGGACCTGTGAAGAACAAGAGGCTTCCTGAGATTGGATATCTAGCAAAACTGGGTTTTGCTTGCCAGTTCCGACTGCCTGTTCTGATGTCTCTGGATAGAGAAGGAGATCCTCAGACCTGTGAAGACCAAGGTTCTTGACCGGGCTGCTTGTGGAGACAGAAGTTCCTGAGCAGGCCCCCTCTCTTCTGGTTCTTCGTGCCTGCCTTTGTTTCTCTTGATGGAAAAGAGGAATCTCGAATTGCCATCACTGTGACTGAGCAGATGACCCTTTGTGGCACCCTCAGGGCCCCAACTGCTGGGTAACCCAGATCACTGCTACTCCACAGTTCCTGGACATGATCCTGTCCACCTCTCAAGACAAGAGCATCATTATGTAGAAACTGAGCAGGGAAGATACCAACTATGGCATCCCACAACATGCTATGTGTGGTCACTCCCACTTTCTTAGTGACTTGGTCATCTCCTCAGATGGTCACATTGTCCTGTCAGGCTCCTTGGATGGAACCCCGTGCCTCTGGGATTTCACAATGGGCATTACCATGAGACAGTTTGTCGGCCATACAAGGACACGCCGAATGTGGCCTCCCCTGACAACCAGCAGATTGCCTGTGGCTCATGAGATAAAACCATCAAGTTATAGAATACCCTGGGTGCCGAGACCAACTCGGTCGTGGAGACCCTAACCCAGTGGCGCTAGAGGAATTAAAGACACACACACAGAAATACAGCATGTGGAGTGGGAAATCAGGGGTCTCACAGCCTTCAGAGCTGAGAGCCCCGAACAGAGATTTACCCACATATTTATTGACAGCAAGCCAGTGATAAGCATTGTTTCTATAGATTATAGATTTACTAAAAGTATTCCTTACGGGAAACAAAGGAATGGGCTGAAACAAAGGGATGGGCTCTGGCTAGTCATCTGCAGCAGGAACAAGTCCCTAAGGCACAGATCGCTCGTGCTATTGTTTGTGGCTTAGGAACACCTGAAGCTGTTTTCCATCCTGGGTGGGCCAGGCATTCCTTGCACTCATTCCAGTAAACCGACAGCCTTCCAGGGCATTGTGGCCACCATGAACACATCACAGTGCTGCAGAGATTTTGTTTATGGCCAGTTTTGGGGCCAGTTTATGGCCAGATTTGGGGGCCTGTTCCCAACACCTGGGTATGTGCAGATACACTGTCTAGTATGAGAGTCACAGAGTGGGTGTCTTGTGTTCGCTTCTTGCCTAACAGCAGCAACCCTATCACTGTCTCCTGTAGCTGGGACAAGCTGGTCAAGGTATGGAATCTGGCTAACTGCAAACTGAAGACCAACCACATTGGCCACACAGGTTATCTGAACACTGTGACTGTCTCTCCGGATGGATCCCTCTGTGCATCTGGAGGCAAGGATGGCCAGGCCATGCTATGGGATCTCAATGAAGGCAAACACCTTTATATGCTAGATGGTGGGGGCATTATCAACACCCTATGCTTCAGTACCAACTGCTACTGGCTCTGTGTTGTCGTGGGCCCGGGCATCAAGATCTGGGACTTATCATCGTAGATGAACTGACGCAAGAAGTTATCAGTACTGGCAGCAAGGCAGAACTGCCCCAGTGTACCTCCCTGGCCTGGTCTGTTGATGGTCATTTGTTTGCTGGCTACACAGACAACCTGGTGTGAGTGTGGCAGGTGACATGGGCACCTGCTAGAAGTTTATGACGGAGCTTTAGAAATTAAAAAACGAGCAAACTGGAAAAAAAAAAGGAGGGGAGTCTCAGGCCTCATGGTGAAGGAGAGTGTTTCCCCTGGCTATTTGTTTTTGTTGAGGTTCCTGATTAATCTCTCTTGCTGGTGGTGTCTGGCTTCCTTGATATTTGTCAGAGGGACACCTGTTCTATTCTGGGAGGAATTGGCCTACATGGGCCGCCTTCTGCTACTAGGCTGTGCCTGGGAAAAACCAGGTCTGGGTGGCTTTCTTCACTTGGGTGAGGTAGGCGTAAGACATCCTGCCTCTGTGCTGTTCTTCTAGTTGTAGGGTTTCAAAGGAGTTTACCTTCTTCTTTCCACCTTCCAGAGTTCTTTAGTTGTCCCTTGTATTATTTGTTTATATTTGTGCTTATTGGGGATTAACTGGGAAAAATGGTCTGTGCTATCTTGTCTGGACCACAAGCTGGGTTTTCCTTCTAATTTCAGTTTCTGTGGCATGTGAGTGTAGAGGTAAATGAGTGGAGAGATACTGGCTGGGGTTGAGTTTGGCTTTGTTGGAGGCCCTGAGATTTACTCACTTTTAAAGAGTTCCTTAAACATCCTGTATGCCTGGACTTAAATTTCATTCACCAGTTCGTCACAGAGCTCTGGAAAATTGTAAGCCAGTGCTGTCCTCCCTATGTTTTCTAAAGCCCTATGCTGATACAGAGGGACTTTTCTCTTTAGATATTTTTAGATATTTTCTTGACTTTCCCTAGTTTGGTCTATTCATTCTCTGCCTGCTTCTTTTCATATTGGAGTATCCAGTGTGAAATCTCAGGATTTTGTTAACTTTTCTTTGCCAGAATATCTTTTGGACTGGTTGGGGTAGTACTGGACTCACTAAAACCATGCTGTGAAACTTATGGAATAAGGTTGTACTTCTTTATTTGTTGGTGATATGTTTAAATTTTTTGTTTTTGTTTTTTCTTTTGAGATGGAATCTCGCTCTGTCACCCAGGCTGGAGTGCAGTGGTGATCTGGGCTCACTGCAAGCTCTGCCTTCCGGGTTCACGTAATTCTCCTGTCTCAGCCTCCCAAGCAGCTGGGACTATAGGTGCCCGCTATCATGCCCGGCTAATTTTTGTATGTTTAGTGGAGATGAGGTTTCACCGTGTTAGCCAGGACGGTCTCGATCTCCTGACCTTGTGATCCACCCACTCGGCCTCCCAAAGTGCTGGGATTACAGGCGTGAGCCACCGCACCTGGCCAAATTTTTGTTTTTTCTTAAACACTATTTTTTTTTCCATTATTAGTCAGTAGGAGCTTTTGAAGTACTGCTTGGTGATGAGATTTTTGCAGTTTTTACATCTTCCTCTGACTTTTGACATTGCTAATGATGGTGGTGGCAGCCTGTCTGGAGCAGCTGCTGTGGAGACGCCAGCTGTGGCTGGGGAGGTGTGGCCAGGGCTCTGCACTCCGCAGAGCCGGCAGGGGCTGGGAACAGGCGGGAGCTTTGTGCTCCTGGGTGCAGCTGCAGCTGCCCAGTTGCAGCTTGGGTCCCAGGAAGCCCCCTGCCCCTGCAGGTTTGAAAGTGCCTGCTCTCGCTCCTGGCCTCTCCCTGCTCCTGGCGCCTGCTCCAGGGGGAAGCAAAGTTGTGGCCAAGCCCAGACACTTTTGCAACCCGGCCGGGTATGTGTGTGCTCAGAGTGGTGCTGACCTGCCAGCCCCTTGCCATCGTGGTCCCCTCTGGACTTTGGGTAACAATAAGGATGGGAGGAGGGGCTGCAGGGGCTGAAGGCAGGTTGGCACTGGCCTATAGACACCTCTTGGCACAGTCAGTTTGCCAAGACACCTCTTGGCACAGCCGTGGATGGCATGTTAAAGGCAGACAGGTTCCTAGGCAGAAAGGGGTGGGTCCCTGGTGAAACCTTACCTCAGGCCAGGGATGGCCTGAAGCCTGCAGGCTGGGCTGCCAGTTCCAGGTGAAGTCCGTGGCCCAGAGTGAGAACTTCATTGATGACCGTTTGGCAAATTTGATGGTGCTTTTTCCAGGCGCACCGTGGCTGCCCATGGATGAATCAGTATGCAGTTCCCTGATTCTGAGCACATAAAATCCAGGCTCAGCTAGACACACATTCATCCAGATGACCTGCTTGCGGAAAGGAGCTACCTCCCTTCTGAATTCAACACACACTGGGATAACCTGCCTGCAGAAAGGACCCTACCCACTTCGGATCTCTTGAGAGCTATTCTTTCGCTCAGTGAAGCTCCTCTGTCTTGCTCATCCTTCAGTTGTCTGCATACCTCATTCTTTCTGGACGTGGGACAAGTGCTTGGGACCCACCGAATGGTGGGCTAAAAGAGCTGTAACATAAACACAGTGGAAACATGCCCTCCGGTTGCCACGTTGCGTGCGACGAGAGAGAGAGAAGATCTGTGGCCCTTCTGGGAGCCCAGACCTTGGGACCCCTGAGCCAGGGCTGTGACACCCTATAACACCCTCTTTGGGACTCTGTGGTTCCTGGTGTCTCTGAGCTTTCTGGTGCCATTGTGTTCCCCCTGTCCAGATGCTACTGAAGCTATGTGTGGTATGTCTGGTCCAACTGCAGCCTTGAACAGAGCCAGCACGTGTGCTGGTGCCTGGAGCTGCCTGTCCTGCCGCACCTGGTGTGCCTGGCTGTGCGTAGTGGACAGATCCCACACTTGCTCACTCACACACCCCTTGCTGCTCTGCGCCTGTCTCACCCTTGGCAGGTGTGGGATCCAGGCCAGTAGTGTTAGCCAGTGCAGCCTGCCAGGCTGAGTGGATGGAATGACTTCAGCAGGCACAAGCAAAACCCAAGCAGAGGCACCACTGGTCACGGAGGTTTCTGGTTGGCAGAGCAACACCCTAAGGATCCTGCGACATTAATACCTTTTTTTCTTTTTTTTTTTTCCCTCCTGACACCTGTGACTCTTCCAGGCCCCTGTTATCTTTTTGCTTACTTAATTTCTATCCTTTGGTTGGTTTCTCCTCCTTTCAATCTTGGATTGACAGGTTCTCATGGATTTTATCCTTCACTCTCTGCTTTTCTGTCAACATTCAGTGTGTTGGTTTCATCTGTCACCTTTAAGTAATTGACTCTCAAGTTTGGATTTTTAACTTTAATATTTTACCTAAAGGTAAAATTTCCAGCTGAAATGATTATAGTTTACTTGAAGTAGCTCCATATTCTTGTTCTTTCATTTCTATTGATACTGTCATGATTATTTATTTCTAAAGCCTTAAAAATTTCATTGAATTGTCTCTTTTTTGTTCACTAAATCCATTCACTAGGTCAAGAATCTTCCATTTTAATTCTCATTGGCATTGTCAATTCTAGATCTTCATTTCTCAAGCTATATTGCTATAATGGCTTCTTCTGTCTTATTAGCTGCCAAATCAAAATCTGTCTTTATGTCTCTTTGTCCTTCTTTTAATTGAACTGTAACATACAGAAAAGTATACAAATCATAAGTGCGCAGCTTGATGACTTTTCACAAACTGAACATACTTGTGCAACTAGCACCAACAAGTTAATCTTTTTAAACTATTGTGTTCAGGATCTTGGTTTTCAAAAATTGTAATCTTGTGTTAACAAAAATTAATTTAAGGAGTTTGGGCTTTATTAGTTTCTTGAGCAGAGAACTAGCAGAAGATAAATTGGCATGTCATCTCCCACTATTTGTCACATAGAGTTTAATTTTGGAGACATTTGCTATTTTAACTGTATTTCATACTCACTTTTTTTTTTTTTTGGCCCTATGCTTCCCTATTTCCTGAAATACATTTCCCGTTTGACTTTTTATAGTCTAAATCATGGTCATTATTTCAGTTCTAATTCATATCTTGCCATTTCTAAGAAATTTTCTGGGTGATTCCAGCTTTAATTAACTTGCAGTAGTATTTGCAATACAACAACAAAAACCTAGGAGATATCTGAAATATCTACCAACAGGAATTTTCTTTTTCTTCTTCTTCTTTTTTTTAAAGACAGTGTCTCATTTTGTTGCCCTAGCTGGAGTGTAGTGGCACAATCTTAGCTCACTGCAACCTCCACTTCCCAGGTTCAAGTGAGTCTTATGTCTCAGACTCCCAAGTAGCTAGGACTACAGGTGTGTGCCACCATACCCAGCCAATTTTTGTATTTTTAGTAGAGATGGGGTTTTGCCATGTTGGACAGGCTGGTCTTGAGCTCCTGACCTCAAGTGATCCACTTGCCTCAGCCTCCCAAAGTGCTGGGATTACAGGTGTGAAGCACCACATCTGGCCCACCAGCAGGAATTTTTGATGAGAGAAAGGTAAACATTGTTATCACAATGCATTTAGTAGCAGAAGTGATATTTTTCCAAGTTGCAGAATAAAATGAACCACAATATCAGATACAGTTTTTTTAAAAAATGTAAAGTATTCGTTGGGTGCAATGACTTGTGCCTGTAGTTTCAGCTACTTGGAAGGCCGAGTTGGGAGGATTGCTTGAGGCCAAGAGTTTGAGGCGGCAATGTGCTATTATTGTGCCTGTGAATAGCCACTGCACTCCAGCCTGGACAACACAGGAGGATCCCATCTTAAAAAACTGTATGTGTACATATATGCATACACACACACACTCTTACATACATATACATGTGTGATTTTTTTTCTCTATTTGGAAAACCCTAATTTTTACCATGTCTTTAAATAAGGTTATTGAAGTTAGAGAGCCAAAGCCCTTGCTTTTCTGTGTAGCTTAGAGGATATCAGCTGAATTAAGAAATTCACCTCTGGTATGGATGAACTAGAATGAAAAATAAAAGGTGTTTTTTTTTTTTTTTTTTTTTTCATTTCTTCTCACTGACTCTGAAAGATTTTACTGCCTGAAATTCTAGGAAATGGTGGGGGGTGGGCAAAATAAATTCTACCATCATTTTCAGGATTTATAATAAACAGGGTATTTTGAGGAAGCTTATGCCAACTGATCTTTAGATGATTATAAGTTATGCTGTAGTAATTTTTTAAACAACTTTTTTGA